TACTGTAACTAATAAACGAATCACCATCCCTAGTAATATGAAAACCATGAAACTCTAGCGCCATTCTAACTCGAGTGGAACGCCTAAGAGGTAATGACTATTCAATGGGTTCAACAGGAATCTCTTCCTCAGGTTGAGCGCTAGTGTTAGAGGTTCCTTCGTTGCTTGATTCTTGAATCTCTTCAAGATCAATTGTACTTCCACTATCCTCTTGGCATATGAGTTCCCTATTGTGAAAAACTCCTCTCCTTGCTACAAAGACCATGTTGTCACTAGGTTTGTAGAAAAGATATCCAAAGGATTTCTTTGGGTTACCAATAAAAATACACCACTCACTACAAGATTCAAGCTTGTCGTGAGTCTCCCGCCTTATGAAAGCTTCTCAACACCAAACCTTGATATGTGCCAAAGAGGGAACCTTCCATGTCTACATCTCGTGAGGTGTTTTGGAAACCTTCTTAGTTGGGACTAGATTAAGGATATGGGTGGCAATATCTAAGGCATACCCACATAATGAGATTAGAAGTGAAGCTCGAATCATCGTAGAATGAACCATGTACAACAAGGTTCGATTTCGCCGCTCAGCCACACCATTAAGTTGTAGTGTCTTAGGTGGCGTTAATTGTGAAATAATTCCAGATTCCTTAAGATAGTTGTGGAACTCGATACTAAGATATTCACCACCCCTGTTGGATCTGAGCATCTTTATCTTCCTGCCCAATTGATTCTCCACCTCTTTCTTAAATTCTTTGAACTTTCCAAAAGTTTCTAAATTATGTTTGATTAAGTAGATATATCCGTATTTTCTATAATCATCAGTAAAGTCACATAGAACCGGTCTGAATCCCTTATGGTGGATTTGAAGGGACCACACACATCTATGTGTATGAAATCCAACAATCCCTCACCTCTTTCACAAGTACCAGTGAAAGGTGATTTAATCATCTTTCCAAGTAAACAAGATTCGCACCTCTCATTTGACTTTAGGTCAAATGACTCCAACACTCCATCTTTTTGGAGTTGGGCTATGCACTTCTTGTTGACATCTCTACGACGAGAATGCCACATGCTTTCCTTGTCTAAACCATTAGAAAAATCAATATGCCACACATTATTACCTAAGTTATCTAAAACCATCACAACTTCATATACAACATTACAAGGCAATTCTTAAAAATAAGATAAACCATTATGAAAAGAATTAATACAACCAATTTAATTACCATACGAAAATCTAAATCCTTGTATGTACAAACCATGGAAGGAAATAATATTTCACGTCATTTCTGACGAATAGCAACAATCATTCAAATGTAACCCTAAGCAACTATTTGTTGGAATAGTGTCTAAGGCTGCAACTATATTAGGCAAGTATTTGACCCGATTGTGCATGGTCCTTTTGGGTTGCCTTCACCATAGCAACTTGACAGGATGATTTATTATGAGAGAATAGATATTATTAATATATTATGAGAATAGTATAAGGAATAATAACATTGTTATTTGATTAATATAAGTCATAGATTAATTAGTATTAATTTGGTGACTTAAATAGATTAATTAACTAAGAGGGTATAAACTGTCAATAGTTTGATAGTTACACTTTGGGCTATGAATCCTTAAGAGATAGGGTATGGACGATTTCTAGGGCTAGGATAAGCCTCAAATTGTCCATAGATTATCTAAGGAAAGGATTAGGATTGCTTAGAGTCTAAGTTATCCAATTAGGGTTTAAGGGTGAAACCCTAGGAGCCTTACAAGTATAAATAGACCCCTTGGGATAGGGAAATTGTCACCTCTTCTACAGCAAGGAAACCCTGGCCGATTTCCTCCTCTCTCCTCTCTCTCAAATCATTCTCTTTGCTAGTTGGTTTTTGTAAGCGATTAGAGGAGTGACAATTGTGACTCTAAAACTCCAAGAACAAGAAGATCAAACAAGTGTTTCAAGGTAAGCTTCTAACTCTGGTTTTGTATTGTTCTTATACCTTATTAGCCATTAGAATTCTTGGATTCAATGCATGTTTAATTAGAGAAACCTAGATCCAAGCATTAAGGTTTGTATGTGCACATAGGAATGTTCATATGACCAAAACCCAACAGTGGTATCAGAGCCTAGATTGGTTTCTATTAAATTGTTGCTTGATTGTTTGAATCTTACCTGCAAAATTCAAATTTTATGATTCTGAGTCATGAACTCGGTGAGTCCCATAGTGGACTCGGCGAGTAGGCCTGACTCGGCGAGTCCGAGCGTCAGGAAGAGCCAAAATCGGGATTTTTTCATATTTATGTTATGGAAACTTACCTTTATCATACTATATCAACCTAAATCCGATTTTATGATATATATGACTATATTTTTGATCTAATTGAAGATATTAATCAATTAATAAAATATTTAATTTCCTTATATGATAATTATTAATTATTTTGATTAAATTGGTAAATTGTTTTTTCAAGAAATCATAAATAAATCAAATATGGATAATTATGTGATTAATTGTTAATTTGAATTATTTGTTGTTTGATCCTTTATGTTTTAAATGTTTAAAAAACTTGCCCTCAAGTTTTGAAATTTATGTTTTGTGATTAAAAGTTTAATTTAGACAATTTAAATTTCAAACCCTAGAATTTTATAAGTTTAAAATCCAACCCTATACTAATATAATATTACAAGATTAATATCTATATATGTATAACATAAATGCTAGTCTTACCGTTAGTAGGCCTCATTCACGAAGCCGGTCTATAAGGTGGGTATAAGGTTGCGGCCTATAAAATGACGCTTAATGGGTGTACACTGACACCCACCGCTTGCTTGATCGGTGGAGGGTCGCTAGCCGAACGGGTAGGATAGGGCAACCTCATCCTCTCATTAAAAGTATAATATGAAATACAAAGTAACTACATGTTTTCTTAAAATTTCCCAATCTTAGTTACTTTAGGAAAAGTGAATTGATGCAATCCCATGAAATTACACTTTGCACCTTTCTAAGAAGTTAGTGGAGCGTGTTTGGTTTACCGGCACACTAATTGGTTCTAAGCGAAGGTGGCAAAGGCTGATTCATTTTTTATCATAGTTCGATGGAGCGTGTGTGGTTTATCGGCACATCGAATAGGTGTTCGTTACAATGAAGGCACCATGTGAATTTGCATGGTAATTCACACCCGCTTTGTGATTCTCGGTATCCCAGTCACAAACAAGAGGCGCATATCGAGATTTAAACATGCCATTGAAAAGTTTCAATGAATCTCATCCAAACCTAGGAATTCTCAATACATTTAGGACTTAAAGTCATGGTGGAGAATTAGTGAATTGTCATTCACTTACCTTCAAATTGTTTGCATATTAGATTACGGCATCCCTTTTCTAATGTGTAAATATAGTTGTTGGATCCTAGCCCTAATTTTTCTTATTGGGTGATAATTAGGGATTCATATTCTAATCTACCTTTGTCCTTTCTATTTGTAGATGTCAAACGCTAACAACACTGCTGCTAGTTCATTCACTTTGATGAGCCTTTGTCAAAAGGTCACCTTCGATGGAACAAACTTTAGCGAATGGATAAGATGCATTTGCACGATTGCTTGCTATGAGGATAAGGAGTATGTCCTCGATGAGAAGCTCGAGAAAATCAACCCTGAAATTGCTACTCCGGCTGAAATGACTGCTTTTGAAACTCACGAGCGTGATGCAACGAAGGTACATTGCATCATGATCGCCACTATGAACTCCGAATTCCAAAAGTCCTACGAGGACATGTATCCGTATGAAATGCACCAAGACTTGTTGGAGAGATACCATCAAAACGCGAGACAAGAGCGTTATGAGATTTTCACTAACATGATTTCCGCCAAGATGGGTCATGGAGAGTCTCTTACCGTGCACCTGCAAAAGATGCAAAGGTATGTCGACCGTCTTCGCAAGTTGAATGTTGACTTTAGGGAAGACTTGGCGATCGACTTGGTGCTACACTCTTTGCCTCCAAGTTACAATCAATTTAAGATGACCTATCACATGAACAAAGAAGAGGTCACCCTAAGCAAACTCCAAGGTCTCTTGAGGGTCGCTGAGAGCAAGTTCAAGGACAAGTCTGTTCACTACTACAAAAACAGCCTTTTATGACGCTTATTGCCCGTCATAAAATGCTCAGACGACGCACAAATGCGTGTCAAGGAAGGCCCTGTCATAACGAGAGTTGACGCGCTTTTGCGCGTCCTCTATAGAGGACGCGCATTTACGATGCGCATTTATGACACGCAATGTGTATCATTGATGCGGCTGTCAAGAAAGGCCATGTCATAAATGAAGATGACTCACATTTTTGCGTATCGTAATTTTAATTTTTTTTAAAAATATATATTTATAGATTTACTAATTTTCAAATTAAATTTTCATTTCATGTCTCATAATAGAAAATAAAATACCATATACAAAAAATATAATACATTGCACAAAAGTTAATGTCATACAAATAATCATTCCAATAGTAGACAAATGGATAAATCTCAAAGGCTTCACAAATATGTTTGTCTTCTAATAGAACTTATACACAAGAAAGTACTGAATTTGCTATTGAACTTATACACAAGAAGAAGGTGTTTGAATTCAGAAAAGGTCTCAGCAACTGAATTGCCCCGGAAGCTTGTGGTTTGACTGCATTTGAACCCAAAAGAACTAGAGTCTCAGGAGAGCATATTGGCATATAGTAGAAACAAAGCCCCTCTAATAAGATAAATATGATTGGATGAAAAGGTTTGTACCGTACATGAAACCCATTCAGCAAATGATGGATAATAAAGATCTTTAAAGTCCTAAAGGGGTTGTGAAATTAATGCAAATATTTGTTTCACTGCCAAGTGTCACAAACCTCCATTTGTAATAAGTGTGACTGAAAGATTCAAACTTTGCAAATTCACCAAACTTGCAACAATCAAGATCATGTAAAAGTCAACTCCAAGTCAAAGGGTCAAACAAGATTGGATCATGATCAAATATACTACTAACCAGAGAGATGACGAAGACTATTGTTTCCAAATGCTATATCAGACAACTCTAAACATTTCAAATAAACAAGGCCTCAAACACACACACACATACATATCAAATTATCAACATATGGATATGAATACATCAATATATAATAAAGATGGTTGTTAAAAGAATTACCTGCTAAGTGAACAAGTCCTTTATCCCCAATTCTACATGAATCCAGATTCAAGCTCTCCAAATTTATCAAACCTGCATTTGTAAAAGGTTTTGTGTATGAACTTTTGGAAAATACACATGAATGTTAAGTACATATGAATGTTAAGAGATTCCACCTTTTAGGTGTGACGTGACAGCATCTGACATATCATTGAATCCCAAGTTCAACACTTTTAGAGACTTCAATTATGTATAAGTAGACCTCCATAGTTATAAATTAATGATTTTTAAGATAAATTAATGAAAAAAAATAAATATAAGGATACAGATCCTTACTTGAAAATTTGTCACACCCATCATCAGTGATATTAGATCTGCTTACATTCAGAACAACATTAATAATTGGTTGATTTTGTAGCCCACTAACAGCAACCTGAAAAATATATTTCAACCATAATTAAATAAAAAAAATAAAAAATAAAAATGCAAGAGAATTGATTTGTAAGCCGTAACTTACTTCCACAAATCCAGACATGAGCCCAAATTTCACTCCATGCTTCTCAAGGAATGCTTCTTTATATTCAGATCGAAGTTTCATTGAATCTGTCCTAAATTAAACAACATAAATTTTAAATCATTGAAAATGTGATGTGATCTATTTAAATATATAAATAATATCATCACTTACATATCGACTTCATCAGGCGCTTACTCATTACAACCTTTTTACCTGGCTCCACTGTATCTCCCTCTTTTGCAACAAACTAAGTTATGGTTAAAAGGGTATGTCAGTAATTTTAATAATGAGGATAATTCTATAATTGTGATTTGTGAATTCATATTAAAATTACAATTTACCTCTTTGGTAACTTCAGCTTCAGGACTACCAACATCAATTGTCACCTGCCTGATTAACAAATTTAGTACTCATTATCCTTGTATGTGCAAAAGACGAAAATGCCTTCACCATAAAAAAATAGTACCTTATCAGTTTCGATTTGGTCAATTGGCTCATATAATCAACTTCCACATGATCTCCAGGTTCTATGAACAACAAAAGAAAAGTTTTCCAAAAAAATAATTATAAAAATGAAAGAGATAAATAATTTGGCTATTCAATTTCAGCATATTCTTTACAAGGTTGCTAAAGTGCCATCACTAATGGATTCTCCCACAAAAGGGACAACAACATCAACCAAGTCACCTTCATAACACAAAAAAATGATATAATTTAGTCATTGTAAAAGAAAAAAAAGATAAATATGGATTGTATTGAATTTACTTATAAGGAAAAACATACCACTGTCTGAAGAAAAAGATCAAGTCCACATTTGTGTTGAAAATTCTGTTTTAAGTGATGATACAACATTCCTGGATAACAACACAAGTTTCTTCAAAAAGGGTTATTGAGTGTGTGTTTGTGTGTGTGTGTGTGTGTGTGTGGAGATAGAGAGAAGGTACAAAATTGTATCAACCTTAAAATTTTTGAATATGTTCCTCTTGCATTCTAGCCAATTCAGGATTGTGTTGTCTTTGAGCTTCATGATCTGTTTGCAGATATTTTATACAATTGAAGATGGAAAACTAGACTATAAAAAATGTAGTGTGTGTGGGTATTTGAGAGAAAGAGAGAAAATGAGAAAGTGAAAGAGATTCTCAAACCTGCAGTCTTTTCCTAGCTAATTCATCTTCATATCATAACATTTGGGCTTTAACTTGTGATTGTTTTTCTACTAAATTCATTTGATCTTCTGCAAGTTTACGCTGCTGTTCGTGCATATGAACATGATTATTAACTATTATGTAATGTAATTCCCAAATAAAAAATACAAAACAGACAAAAGCACATGAAGGTTGACCTAAAATAATACTCACGATAGCAAGTTGAGCCTGAATGGCTTCCTGATGAGCCTTCTCTGCAGCCAATTCAGCAAGATGATCCTTTTCTTGTTTTCTCATCACCTCAAATACCTAAAAAATGAACCAAAATCCATGTATTACCAATGCAACTGGTAAAAAAAATTAAGTAGTACATAACAATGAGAAACAGAAAAGCAACCAAAGTACTACCATTGCCTGCAGAAAGAAAAAAAACGTTAATCAATAGAAATTTTTTTAACATTTAAAATCGAATAAAAGAATTGGCTAGACATAAAGAAACTGTTAAGCTGGCACATGCATAATGTCCTTGTGGTATACTCTTCATTAATCAAGTAATTTAACCTAAAGCTATGTGTGTATGTTGATTAATTTATTGATTGTTTCTTATTGCTCATTAAAGGAGAAAAGAAAAGCTTGAATTCGGAGTAGTGGCATGCTTGTGCAGGTCCTCTTGTTTCCTTACCGACAGTAAGAAGTCCTTCTCTTGATGTTTGCCTTTCCTGAATCAAAAGACAAAAGTGCCATCGTCAAAAAAGGATAAAAACAACTTATAAACATATTTAAACCAATGGAATTTGTCTTCAGTTGCTCCCCAACTAAGAAATTGAGTTCAACAACTTTATTGACCGATGCCGAGAAGTACAATTAGGTCCTTGTGTAGAGTGACTACAACATAAAGCCCGAGTTTTTCACCAAAAGCATGTTACCCTAGCTCACGGTATTTGTCAAATCTTTTTCCTGGAACAATTTCGTGTCATTTCCACCATTTTCCATAGTGTGTAGAGTGTAATCACCCAGGATAGGACTAGTACTGTGATTCCAAAGCCCCTGAATCAAGCAGATTGTATATTATGAAAGTGGATTTTATGTGAGGATTTTCACCGAACATGTTGTGTGCATCGTTTAAACCAAAAAAGAATCTTACAGAAAAGACTTGGATTGAAGGAAAAGTGATACCATCCGAGTTGAGATAGCGCGTAAGGAAGACTGAGGACACCGGCACCAACCACGGCGGTGACATTGTGAAAGGCTCACTACCACCGCTTTGCATTTCTGGAGGATATCACTTGAAAGAAAAAACCATTTGAGTCTTTTGCACTACCAGGATCTAATTCCATTATTTTAACAAACTAATTCTCGGATTTGACTGCCAGGAAATCATTTGAAGCTTAATGATGATTTGTTAACTGTTGTAGCGAAGGAGATGCAGACAGAGTCTCGTTGACGAGCGGCTGGTAGGTCGGCGATGGTGGTTGACATGAGAGATGGGTCAGAGGAGAAGGTGTTGAGGAAAAGATCGTAGAGGAGGGTGGAGGAGCAGAGTTTGTTTCCTAGATGTAGAGATAGAGAGAGAGAGAGAGAGAGAGAGAGAGAGAGAGAGTGTGTGTGTGTGTGTGTGTGATGAGTGGGACATGATGGTGGAGTAGAGGTAATTGGCGAGGTATGGTTCAGATTCGGAGTCACGGCGAGCTTCAGCTTTGATTTCGTTCCAGACCCAGTCGCATTCGTTTTCTCTGCAGTTGACGGCGTTTCGTGGAGACGATGATGACATCGTGTTCTGCGATGTGGCGTTCCGATCTTGAACTGACATCTTGAGATGGCGTAAGTGTTTGCTTAGGCACTTTGAACTCTTAAAGCTTATGAGGTTCGATACTGGTGGTGGCGGCTTAGGGCTTGCAAATAGAAAGGAGAGAGAGAGAGAGAGAGAGAGAGAGAGAGAGAGAGAGAATGTAGAGGTAGTGAAAGACCAGATGCTTAAAGGATTATTAGGGTTTTTGGGTAGAGGATTTTAGAAGGAGAAGAAGGAGATGCATCAGGCGGGGTGTTTAATTTTTTGGGAATTCATTACCCCAAGAGAACGCGCGCGCCTTCCTTAAAAAAATATAAAGCGACACATTTACACGACGCCCTTTTTTATGATAGGTGCCCTCCGTGTTTTTAATTTTTTTTGTTGGACACTAATTTTAGGGCACGCACTAATGCTTATCCTCTATCCTTCAAATTTTGCAAAAATGACATTATTTTTTAGGGCACGCACAAATGCGCGTCCTCTATCAGCGAGTGTCATTGTTTGCGCGTCATTAAAGGGCTGTTTTCTAGTAGTGGTTGCACCAACTCCCAATCCGCCCGCCGCTCCTGTTTTGGCAATTGGACAAGGAAAGGGAAAGAAGAGGAAGGCTTCGTCTAAGAACTATCGCAAGGTTAAATCCCAAGATGGTGCCTCTTCTAGTGGGACCAAAGTTGATCCCACTAAGCCCTGCCCTAACCCAAAGGAGGCAGAGTGCCACCACTGCCACAAGATAGGACACTGGAAGAGAAGCTGCCCAGAGTACCTGCAAGCCATCAAGGAAGGAAAGATCAAGCCGTCTTTCGCAGGTATATACACAATTAAATCTAACGATTCATCTCATTATATTTCTTGGGTTCTTTATACCGGTTGTGGTTACCATATTTGTTCTAATGTGCAAGGACTAAGAAGAAATAGAGACGTGGAGCATGGAAGAATAAATCTAATCATAGGAAACAGAAGATCGTCTCTTGTGACCAAGATTGGAGTGTATTCTTTAGTGCTTAGGAATGGTTTATCTTTAGATTTAAACAATTGTTGCTATTCGCTAGAAATGGCTAGAAACACCATTTCATTTCATGGTTTGTTTAGACAAGGTTTTAGATTTTCTTTTAATAATGAGAATAGTTCTATTTTGGCTTATCTAAATGGTGTCTTTTATTTTGAAGCTATACCATGTAATGGAATTTATGAAACTGTTATGATTGTTGATAACTTAGGAAATGATGTTTTATGCATGGATTCTTCCAATAGTATGGATAAGGCATCCTTGTGGAATTGTCGTCTTGGACATGTCAACAAGAAACGCATAGCCCAACTCCAAAAGGATGGAGTGTTGGAGTCATTTGACCTTAGCGAAGATGACACATGTGAGTCTTGTTTACTTGGAAAGATGACTAAGTCACCCTTCGCTGGTACGCGCGAAAGGGGTGAGGGTCTATTGGACCTCATACATACCGATGTGTGTGGACCGTTTAGATCTACCACGAAGGATGGAAACCGCTTCTACGTGACTTTTACTGATGACTATAGTAGATATGGGTATATCTACTTAATCAAGAAAAAGTCAGAAACTTTTGAAAAGTTCAAATAGTTCAAGAATGAAGTGGAGAATCAATTGGGCAGAAAGATCAAGATGCTTCGATCCGATCGAGGATGAGAGTACCTAAGTCTTGAATGGTGTGGAATAGTTTCACAATTGACGCCACTTAGGACACCGCAATTGAATGGTGTGGCAGAAAGGCGTAATCGAACCTTGTTGGACATGGTTCAATCTATGATGAGTCGTGCTTTGCTATCTATCTCTTTTTGGGGGTATGCCTTAGATACTGCCACCCATATCCTTAACCAAGTCCCTACTAAGAAGGTTGCCAAAACACCTCACGAGATGTGGACGGGGAAAGCTCCTTCGTTAGCACATATCAAGGTTTGGGGTTGCAAGGCTTTCGTAAGACGAGATACTCACGACAAGCTCGAACCTCGTAGTGAGCGATCTATTTTCATCGGCTACCCACATAAATCCTTTAGATATCTCTTCTATAGACCGAAGGACAATGTTGTCTTTGTTGAGAGCGAGAACTCATAGGCCAAGGAGACAGTGGGAGGCAAATCGAGCTTGAAGAGATTCAAGAGTCGATAGATGAAGGAACCTCTACCGCTGGCACTCAACCCGAGGAGGAAACTCCGGTTCAACCGATTGACATATTGTTACCTCTTAGACGTTCCGAAAGAGTTAGAGTTCAACCCCAGTTGTATGGTTTTCATATTACTACCGAAGGGGACATGTATATTAGTGATAGTACACTAATAAACCTTGATGAACCTAATAGCTATAAGGAAGCCATGGCAGGCCCGGAGTCTGCAAAATGGAAAGAGGCAATGGATAGCGAGATCCAATCCATGTATGATAACCAAGTTTGGAATTTGGTTGATAATGTACCCAGACGTAAGACCGTTGGGTGCAAATGGATCTTCAAGATGAAGACCGACGTGGATGGAAAAGTACACACGTATAAGGTGCGATTGGTTGCGAAGGGCTTTACTCAAACTCCCGGAGTTGACTATGATGAGACCTTCTCACCAGTTGCGAAGATAAAGTCTATTAGAGTGATGCTAGCTATTGCCGCATTTCATGATTATGAGATTTGGAAAATGGATGTCAAGACCGCTTTCCGTAACGAGAAGTTGGCTAAGGATGTTTACATGGCTCAGCTAGAGGGGCTTGTGGATCCGAAGCATCCGAATAGAGTGTGTAAGCTTGAGAAGTCCATTTATGGACTAAAACAAGCATCTCGCAGATGGAATTTTTTCTTCAATGAGAAAGTCAAATAGTTTGGATTTGTATGAAGCGAAGATGAATCATGTGTATATGTCAAAGCCAGTGGGAGTGTAGTAAGCTTCATCGTTCTATATGTCGATGACATATTACTCATAGGAAATGACGTCCCGACTTTGCAGGAGGTTAAGTCCTGGCTCGGGAAGTGCTTCGCTATGAAGGACCTTAGAGAGGCTTCCTATATTTTGGGAATAAGGATAGTAAGAGAAAGAAGTAAGAGACTAATAGGACTTAGTCAGAACACTTACTTAGAGAAGGTACTAAAACGTTTTAGTATGGAAAACTCGAAGAAGGGAGAATTACCGATACAAAGTAACGCCAAGTTGAGTAAGACTCAAAGTCCGGGTACCGAAGCTGAGATAGCTGAAATGAGCCAAGTTCCATACGCTTCCGCGGTTGGCTCAATCATGTACGCTATGACTTGTACTCGCCCTGATGTAGCCTTTTCTTTGAGCATGGTTAGTAGATATCAAGGGAATCCTGGCAGAGCCCATTGGATTGCGGTGAAGAATATCCTTAAGTACCTTCGGAGGACGAAGGAATGGTTCTTAGTCCTCGGAGGGAGTGATGACTTGAAGGTGCGAGGGTATAGTGACGCCAGCTTTTAAACCGACAGGGACACCTACCGTTCGCAGTCGGGCTGGGTCTTTACCCTGAATGGAGGAGCAGTGACTTGGAAAAGTTCCAAGCAGGAAACCGTAGCTGATTCAACGTGCGAATCAGAGTACATTGCAGCAAGCGAAACGTCGAAGGAGGCAATATGGTTGAAGAACTTCATTGGTGATCTTGGAGTTGTATCTGCAATAAAGGAGCCCAGGGAGATTTTCTGTGATAATGAAGGAGCGGTTGCCTTGACCAAGGAACCGAGAGATCATGGTAGATCACGACATATCGACAGAAAATATCACTTTATTAGACATCGTGTAGAAAAAGGACAACTCGCAAGGAAGAGGATATCATCAGAAGATAACCCAGTAGATCCGCTTACGAAGGGACTGAGTAGGGTTAAGCACTTGTAGCATGCTAGGAGTATTGGGCTGAATGATGATATTAGCATAGATTAGATAGTATTAGAAACGTGTAATAGATAAATGTAATTAACATTTGATGATTAAATAAAGGAGTTTTATTTATAAGTAATGTTACTGTCTTATGTTAATTGTTTAACTATTGTTTCACTTTGCATGTTTTGACTTCCAGAATAATTGAGTTTATTAAGAATAATCGAATTATTCAAATTGTCCACAATCGTTCATATGTCGGAAGTAGATATGAATGAAGATTGTCATGAATAGGTGTGTAGATTGTCTAAATGGTTTTAGACATAGCAAAAGATTGCTGCAACGTTCATGAGTGCTTATGAACCTGTTTTGAGCATTGGAAGAAACCCGCACTTGCTGGAATCACCTTATGGAATGTGATAAAAAGGGTGATCGCAAGACGATAATATCATATAGTTTTAAAACCTAGATATATGGTTTGTTATTTGTTAATTGATTGTACATTGATAATGCGAAAACGCATTGGTAACTCGATGTTATAAAACGCATTGTTGTGTGTAGTTGATTAATGAATAAGTAAATGCATATAAGTTGAAGTTTATATGTAACTTTTATCCTAAGAAGGAAAAAGCGATATCTCGGCCGCTCGATGATTTGATATGACTTATGTGCCGAGCCCGGTCAGAACTGAATTAATGTGTTCGATTAAGTTCTATGTCAAATAAATTGAAGATCGAGAAACCAAATGCTAGACTAATCATTCCATAGAATTGTCAGCATGATATCTAACAGAGGACTGTACGATCCCTTATCTAAAGGACAAGATTGATTAGATCAGAGTTTGACAGCGCCTTTAAGAGCTACGATTGCAAATCGGATTGCACTGGTGCATATAGTTACTAGACTTATCCAAGTGGGAGACTGTTGGAATAGTGTCTAAGGCTGCAACTATATTAGGCAAGTATTTGACCCGATTGTGCATGGTCCTTTTGGGTTGCCTTCACCATAGCAACTTGACAGGATGATTTATTATGACAGAATAGATATTATTATTATATTATGAGAATAATATAAGGAATAATAATCTTGTTATTTGATTAATATAAGTCATAGATTAATTAGTATTAATTTGGTGACTTAAATAGATTAATTAAATAAGAGGGTATAAACTGTCAATTGTTTGATAG